CAAATGCTGTTTTAAGCCAGATGTTAAGTTGACCTCTTTCAGGAAAGATCTAGCCAGTCCTTCAACAATTATTGACTAAGGAGTTACTCAGACCAGTACTGGGCTTTGTCCAAGTGAGTTTATTCAGTCAAAAGATGCTGTACAAAAATTTTCTGAAAGAAAGAAAAGAGGGAAAGAAAGGGGAAAGAAAGGAAAGGGAAAGAAAGGAAAGGGAAAGGGGAAAGAAAAGAGAGGTCCCATGTGCTTAAAATCGTGACCCTTTGATTCTCTCTGTAATGCTCTTCTCCAGAAAAAGAAATTGAAGGGGGCGGGGGTGGAGACCAGCAAACCAAGGGAAAAATATAAAGGCCTAAACACTCAGTGAGGAAAGTCTGCTAATGTTGTCTGATTGCAAGAGAGATGCAGGATGTTTAAAATGTGCAAACCGGTGGATGCCAAGCTTGTCCCTACCCCAGAGCTTTGTACATGGTTTTAGAAATTTTTTTCTCAGATATAAGCATGGCTCATTTCTTTTAGCCCTCTGCTCAAATTTCCTTATCAAATGTCCATAGGTGATGATAGAGTTTAAATAGTTTGGTGTGCGGAAAAGGGAGAAGAATGAGAACAGGTCAGCTCTCTCCCATTAGCATAAGGAAAATGCGTGGCCAGGTTCACATGGATTTTAATACGCAAATTGGTCCCTTTATGGGGACATCTTTTTGTTTGTGTTACATTTAAGTGTGAAGAGCTAGACTCCTTACTAAACTCCCTCCTGAAAATCTGTATATGTTTCTTTACATATTCCTGTGCTCACAGGCCATAGGGCTGGGAGTAAAAAAGAAAGGACAAATAGAGGGGAGAGGTGGATCAAAATTAAATGTGGAGATGCCCTAGTTTGAATTGTAAGAGGTTAAATATTGCTGTGCTGGCTCAGGGTCCCAAAAAGAACAGATGGCACGTGCTGAGTAAGATTATTTGGGAAGGTTTTATTTGCAAAGGGTTTACTTACAGTGGTGTGGGTGTAGGGCACCACCGAGGATAGTGCAGAAACAGGGGCATATCCGGAGTAAAACTGTCACTACCATGGCCTAAAAGGGAGGGAGAGGTTGCTGGAACCGGAAAGAGAGAGTCGTGTAGAAGAGCTACCTCGAGAGCAGCTATCAGGACACTTTCTGGTGGGACACAGCTGAGGAGCTCTCACAGAGGGGGCCGGAGGAATTAATAGGCAGATCTCACTCTCCTCCTTCCCTTTTACCTGCTGGAAATTTCCACTGGCTGTACCCACCTGGATGCCAGAGATCCAAGAGGCTGTTGAACTAGTCCATAAAGGTCAGCCTCTGGAGCAGACAGCAGAGTAGAGAGGGGTAATGGACCTGGAGGGTAAAGGGGAGATGTGCAGCACACCTGCCACCCCACACATATGAAAGTTTTCAAAATCACAAAATGCTTGCTTGGAGAGAGTGCTAAGTATTATCAGTAATGCCTAAAAGGTACAAATTCAACTTTAAACCACATACAGACTTTAGGAAGACATTTACAAGAACCTCAGGTTTATCTTGCATCTTCTTAGCTCCAATATAACTGAGTACTCTGGGTGTACAGCAATAAACCCCATTCCTATTTATCTTCAGGAGACTGGTCTTCACAGTGATAGGAAATACATCATAAACTCTTGGGTACTAAGCCTCAATAAGTGGTATTTTTAAAACGTAAGTCCAATAATGCTTCCGCTCTGTTGACCACCCCCTTCCCTATGGCTTGGAGTAAGAGCGAGAGTCTTCACAATGGCCTACAAGACCCTGGATAATAAGCCCCTGGCTATTCTGTGAACTTACCACTACTGCTCTTCCCCTTGCTCAGCTGGCTTCAGTCAAAGTGGTTCAAATCCATTAATCATAATCTGCCCCAGGGCCTTTGTCCTTGTTTCCCCTGCTCTTTTCCAAATACAAACATGACTCACTCCCTCACTTTTTTTTTTTTAATTTATTTTATTGAAGAATAGTTGATTTACAATGTTATGTTTATTTTCTCCCATTGCGGAGCACAGGCTCCGGACGCGCAGGCTCAGGGGCCGTGGCTCACAGGCACGGCCGCTCCACAGCATGTGGGATCTTCCCGGACCGGGGCACGAACCCGTGCCCCCTGCATCGGCAGGCAGACTCTCAACCACTGCGCCACCAGGGAAGCCCACTCCTTCACTTTTATACGTTCAAATATCACCTTTAAAGAAGCCTGCCTGACAATCCTATATAAAGTATTATCTATAGCAAAATGTGTTTTCCAAAAAGGGCCATACCAGTGTTTCCACTCCCACATGATCTTCCAGAAACTTGCCACTGCCCACCCATCAACAGGTGGAGTCTGCTTTCCCTCTTCTTGGGTGGGACTTGTGACTGCCTCAACAAATAGAATGTAGTGGAAATAATGCTGTGGACTTCCAAGACTAGTTCATAAAAGGTGATAGAGTTTTCTTCAGATGCTCTCTCTTCCTGGGACATTTGCCTTTGGAACTCAGCCACCATTTTGTAAACGAAGCAAAGGCCACGTGAACAGACCACATGTAGGTATTTGTTCAACAGCCTCAGCTGAGGTCTCAACCAATCCCAGCACCAGTCACCGGATACCGGAGTGAGTGAGCCATCAGGTGACTCCAGCCTACAGCCTTCAAGCTGCCCCATCTGATGCCAAGTGGAGTAGACAGAAGCTCTTCCTGCCAAGACCTATTCCCTTTGCAGATTCATGAGCAAAAGAAATGGTTGTCTGTGCTGCTAATTGTTGGAGTAATTTGTTTTACAGCCACAAAATCAGAATATATTTTTGGTAACAGAAGTGAGATGCAACAGAAACCTAAAAATATGTGGGAATGGCTTTGGAACAAGGCAGTGGGCAGAAACTAGAAAAATTCTTAAGGGCAGTGTTGGTGAAAGCCCAAAGGATCTTGAGGAGACCAACAAAGGAAGCCTGATAACCCTTGATGAAGCTATCAGGGAGGGCTTCAAGGAAGGTGAAGAAAAGATTACGCGAAGCTGGAATGTTATGGAAATCCTTGTTATGTAGCGAGAGAAAGTTTAGCAACACTGTTCCTGCAGTAACTTGGAAAACTGAAGAGGTACGGAACTAACTGGATGATCTAGCTAAGGGGATTTCAGGCAGAATATTATAAGTGTCTTCTTCCCATTGTCTATGGTGAAATGAGAAAGGAGAGATGACTTTTTTAGAAAGGGAATTTTTCACTTTTCAAGTAAAATGTAGAGGAATTATCAAGAGCAGGACTTGATGTCTTCAAAAATAAATGTAATTCTACCTCCTGGCCTCTCCAATATTCTCAAATTAAGAGAGAGCTTCAGAGCGAAGGTTAAACCCAAATTTTTTTGCTAAAAACCTCAGCAGTGCCTCCAGAACTCTTCTGCTTGCACAAAAGTCCCTTTAAAGATTTTAAGGGGGTGCTTCACAAATCCTCTCTATTAACCAATAGAATCTAAGAATCTAGACTCTTAAGAATCTAGACTGTTGTCTGTCAGCAGTTTTACAGCAAGCCCAAGGTAGAGAAGGGCTTATGTTGACAAGATTCGTGCATGTAGCTTTTTCTAATGGAATGTATTGTAATCTGATTCATAAGAAATTCACGAGGTTATAAAAACAGTCATGTCAGCTTGGATAGAAAGGAAGATTTAATCAACATTTTCCATGCAGAAAGCAGGCTGAGGAAATCATTCAGGGAAAATTAGGCCACTTTGTATAAAAAGGATGACGATTTGGAGGGCATAACCAATAGCCATGCTGAGTCATTGCCAGGCAGGAGCACAGTACCCTAATCAAGTAAGTGGTAACATACACCCTACTGGAGTTCAAAATTGTTATGGATTCCTGTGTGCTTCCAATTTTCCCCCTTTTTGAAGAGAAGGGTCTATAGCACTCTATACATTTTCCATGATGACACACGTTTGTGTGTGTGTGTGTGTGCGCGCGTGCACGCGTGTGCCAAATTGTTTCTTGAGTTCATGAGTCTTAAGATCAATGGAAACTGTCTCTAGAAGCTCTATCTGAGGAATGTCAATTGCATGTGAACAAGATCTATATGGCAAGATCCTAGACTGTGAGCCGGATCTTCAGGCCATAATGGGATTAGACCCTGGGGAAAAGGGTAGCCTTTTTTTGCCAATAAGAGGGATTTGAATTACTGTTACCAAATTGTGGTTATGGATTGTGGCAAAGTATATCTTCAAAAAACGGCATGGCAGTATTTCTGGTCCCATATGGTCATCCATAACCTTGCCACTTCCCGTTAAGAGGTGGAGTCTGTTTATCTTCTCTTTGGGTATAACCTGAGAAATGTAGCATCCATATAATAGCAATTACAAAAGTTTTGGTGAAACATTGAAAAGGAAACCAAAATAAATGGGAATATGTTTATGAATAGGAAGACACCCTGTCATAAAAATACTAATTATCCCTAAATTCATCTATAAATTTTAAAAATTCTAATTACCATTTTAATAGGCAGGCCTTTTCATGGAACTGGCCAAGCTGGTCCTAAAATTCATGTAGGAGAGGAAACAGCTCTAAAAAGCCAAGGCGTTATGAATAAGAATAGAGTAGGATTTGGAGGGAACTATTTACACTGGTGTATATCAACATTATAAAGCTATAGCAATGAAAATATTGTGGAATTGGAACACAGATACATGCATAGACCAACAAAACAGACTAGAGGAAAAAGAGAGAATCATCTGTAATGTATGTGCTACTTGATTTATTATAAAGGTAGCCATGCAGAGCAGTAAGGAAATGAAGTGTTTTCAATAAGTGGTACTGAGATGTTTGGTTCTCCATAAAGGAAACAATTAAATCAGAGTTCTCCTCCATTCCAATTCCAGGTGGGATTTTAGACTTAATTGTGTAGATGAAACTTTCAGAATAAATGCGGGAGGGTGTCTGAACAACTTCAGGGTAGGGAAAATTTTCCTAAGCAATACACAAAAAGCACTAGCTGAATAAAAAGATGGGTAAAATTGACTACATTAAAATTCAGAACTTCTCTTTATTCAGGGCGCACCGAAAACAAGGTGCAAAGAACTTAACCAAATATTTTTGATGCCTAAAAACCCACAAAGGATTAGCATCAAAAATATATAAATAACTCCTTCTCATCAGTAGTAATTAGGAAAATGCAAATTAAAACCAGAATGAAATACTATTCACAGACATCAAATTGGTAAAAATAATAATAATAAAATAAAATTCAATCTGTTAATATCAACTGTGGGTAAGAATGTGGGGGAAAGACAAATTTCAAACATGCTGGTGAGATTATAATAAGGTTGAAGCCCCACATTGTATATAAGCAGCATTTCCACTTCTAGGCATATATACGCAAAGAACCATGTCCAGGAATATTTGCAGAGGTCTTGTTTGCTATATGTAAACATTAGAAATAACCTAAGTGTTTATCAGCTGGAAAATGGAAAAACCAATTGTGGTTTATTCATACAATGGAATGTTTTATAGCACCTAAAATGAGTGAGTTAAATTAGACACGTAAACATGGATAAATTTCTAAAATATGATATTGAGTAAAAAAAAAAAAAAAAAGTGTTGTAAAATGATGCACACGGAATGATCCACTTATGGAAAGTTTTAAAACATGCAAAACAATACTGTAGTTTATGATATTGCATAGGTAGTAAAAAATATTAAAACAGACTTAGGAATGATAAAAAACAAAATCCATTTGGGGAAGGAGAAAAATAGGAATAGAGAGAGGTCCCAGAGAGTCTCAAGCATATTTGTGATGTTTCATTTCTTTAAAAGGAAAAAAAGCCCTATTGCAAATGGTTAAGTTTTCATTGTTTTGCTGTGGGTAAGTGGGGTGCTCGATACATCACTCTCTGTCCGTTTCTGTTCACAAACTTGTTTTGAAAGCTTAATGAGAATCATAAGCGTCAGTGGGTCCATATGGTTTGTTGCCTTATTTGTGGATCTAGCTATATACATTGGGTACACACGTTCTGCTGAGAATGTTATAAAGGTATGCATGGAATTTTGTTGTTGCTCTTCTACACATCATCAGCAAGCCTCTTCCGTTTATTTATTTATTTATTCTGGCCTTGCCACATGGCACGCGGGATCTTAGTTCCCCAACCAGCAACCAGGGATCAAACCCGTACCCCCTGCAGTGGAAGCAAGGAATCCTAACCACTGGACTGCCAGGGAATTCCCAAACCTCTTCAATTTTAAGTAGAATGAGCAATTAGGTTATTCTCTCCTTCCGGGGAGAGGGCTTTCTTTTACATTTATCATCAGAAAATCCACTCCCAGCGAGTCCAGTCTGCAGAAGAAAGATAAGATGTCAACAGTGTATCCTCCCAAATTGTCTAAAGGCCAGAAAGAAAAGAAATACTCAGCATACCTACTGTGGTTACTGAGGCCAGGTTAAACATCAAATTTCAGTTTTCCAGCACGAGGAGGGAGGTTGAATCATCAAAGAGGATGAGCAAGGCTTGAAGTAGGACTCTAGAAATACTTGGTCACTGAAAAGTGTCTAAGAGGTTATTCTGTCTCCATGTTGACTTCTCCATCTGCCCTCACCTCATTGTTCTAGGAGCAAAGAGTGATACAGGACAGGGCTTAATTAGGGGGACATAGGTAAATAGCTTTGTCTTATTTATGTATTCATTTTTAGATGGAAATCATAGATATACTGTTTGATTGTATTCCCTTAAAGTAGACCCTAAGAAAAGGATTTAGGTGAAAGTAGTTTACATCACAGTGAGGGAATGCGGATGAGACAGAAAAGGGAGGGAAGGTCATCACAGGTGGAGGGAAGGTCATCACAGGTGGATTAATGCGCGGGTTGCTGCCCTAGGCAACTGGGGCTCCATTTTGCTGGAGGCTTTTTGAGGGCCTGTGGAGAAAACCCTTGAACCTAGCTGGACAAAACATAAGGAAGCAGGAGGATTTTTCATCAACTCCTTATTTAAGGATTGTTGCTTGGGAATACTAACTGCTTCCACCGGGCCTGTCTCCCCTGAAAGCTTGCCAAGCAGATTCTTATGGGCCGCAGAAAGCCCCCAGGCTGAGTTCAAAAGCCAGCAGCATGCAAGGGAACTTGTGAAAATTTCAGGTGACATCCACCTTGGCAGGGCCGTGGGGATCTGCCTACAGCACGTGACAAGGATATCTATCACAGAGCCCAGTGTATCATAGGTTCCAAAGCATGGGATAAGTATTGCCAATGGTTCAGGAGACAATTTTAGGTGGTTCTGGGTCATGGTGTTAAATAATATTGAATCACATGGTGAGGGAGTTCTGCCCTTTTCCCTTGTGTTTCAACTTTTCTTATTATTCCAAGAATAATATCTCATTTTGGTACTAAATGTTATGGGCTGAATTGTGTCCCCCCAAAATTCATATTTTGAAGTCCTAACCCCCAGTAATCTCAGAATGTGACTGAATTTGGAAATAGGGTCTTTAAAGACATAATTGAGTTAAATGAGTTCATTAGGGTGGGCCCTGATTCAGTATGACTGGTGGCCTTATAAGACGAGGGGATTTGGACACACACTGGTACAGAGGGGAGACCTGTAAACCACAAGGAGAGGGCCGTGTATTGCACAAGCCAAGATAGGCGTCAGAAGTAATCAACCGGCCAACACCTTGATCTTGGACTTCTAGCTTCCAGAATTTTAAGAAAATCAATTTCTGTTGTTTAAGCCCCCCAGGCTTTGATACTTTGTTATGGCAGCCCTAGCAAAGTAATGCACTCATTATGGCTTTAATCTATCTCCAGCGCTTGCTAAGCTACCCATTGAGGAGTGTCAGCCCCAGGCTCAGAAGGTTTACTGATGACCGCAGTTGGCTAAAATGTGCCAACATTGTCCTGTTTTCATTGATTTATTTGTACAATTACCCTCAATCTATGGCATGTGGGACTATTTATTATCAGCAACAATGCAAAGTTTCCTTTTTAAGTACATGTATTTAATCGTTGAAGCCAGCCAATTTAAAGAACAGCATTGAGCAAATCATGGAACCATCAAGATAGTATAAAATGGCTCAAGTCTGGGAAATACTGTGAGCTCTGGAGCAACATGTTATGATGGACAGAAAGAGTGTGACCTTGGGTGAATCACCTAGCCCCTCTGAGCTTCAATTCCCCAATACTGACCTCGTAGAGTAGCTGGGAAACTCAGATGGGATATTTGTCAAGCAACAAGCACTCTGCCTAGCAGTAATTAAAAACTCAGTAAATGTTGGTTCTCTCCCCTTGAAATATTTGTAAGAAAATATAGATTTTTTTAATGGGCCTTTGGAAAGTTATTACTCAGATATTAGAACACGGCCAATCAGATGTTAATCAAATCTAGTGTAATTTTCTTTAGAAAAATTCCCTTTTCTATCATTTTGTCCCATCCTAAGAAACTGGGTCCTTTTGATCTGTTTGGAACTGCTGAGCCCATCTTTTCTGGATGTTGGGAAGATCAAATGAGGTAGCAGGTGTGGAAAGGCATTAGAAAGTTTGCACACAAATGGAGTGGCGATGGGGTTTCTACTTATGTCCTGCTGTGGCTGTGTGAATTGATCTGTATATCTTGGTTGCATTCATTGAAATGAACCACAGTGCTTAAAAACTGCCTTTTTTCCTATGGCTTTTTCTATTAATATGGGAAGTGTTCACAAGTTTCTTATCCAAATAGTAGAGCAACGGGAACCCCGAGAGGACCAGAGGTTTTCAGTAGAGAATAATCCGTCATCTCAGAATTCCCGAGACCTTTACGAGAGAAGGTAGTGAGTCGGTGTTCTTAAAACAGTGGAAGTGCCAATTCTGAGTACAATGTCATGTTTCTTTCATGGGGGAAATAGAGCAATGTGGAAATCCCCGAAGTATGTGTTATTACGGGGTTTCTTTCGAGTTGTTAGGATATTTGAAGTTATTTTTTTAAGAGGTTTAGCATTGTGTCCTGAAAAGCTCTTACCTGTCAGCAGAGTCTTCAGGAATGTAGTCTCCAGTCACTTCCAAGGGATGCAATTCCTTTCATGAATATGCCACCTCTAGTGAATAAAGGGAAGGGTGGCCCTGGGGAAAAGTAAGGGGGTGGATACCAAGGTGAGAAGAGGATATAAATAATAGAGTCCTCTCTGGCCTTAGGTTATTCTTCAAATTAATCAAATCCTGCCAAACCCTAGATTCCTGGACAAAAGAGATTCACACCTGAAATGAACAGAAAAAAGTCTCTACCCTCTTGTAACATGTTCTAGTACAGGATTTTAACCTCATGCCACTCATCCTGTGGCGGTTTGGTAAAGTCTACGGATCCCTTCTCAGAAGAGTGTTTTCAAATGTAGAAAATAAAATACACAGAATTCAAAGGAAAACAATGATATCGAAATTGAATAACTTGCAGCATTATGTTTGACCCCTATCATTGCACACTCTTTTAGCTATAGGCTACTTTAAATAACACACTTCAATAATTATCTCAACCATCACATGTATTTGAACTTATCTAGTCTTTATTCCTAGACTGCATGACTATCCTTGTTACAAAAGTCCTTGCAACCTTATAGAGAGTTAAGAATTCTTATGTGGACTGTCCAGTCTTAAAACCTTTTAACAAACAACAGAAACAACTCACTCTTTCTATGTATTGATTAACATTGTAAATAAGAAATACTAGAATGCAAGGAGATGTCTGGGTCATCAACATAAGAAACCGTGGTTTCACTGTTTGGTGGGTGAAGGATAACCAGGCCCAGAACTGCTCTATAATTGGCCATCTATGCCTGTGAGCATCTGTACCCGGGAAGGCTCTGATCACATGCCACCTTGCTGCAAGCCCATTGACTACCATAACTTGTAAGCAATGGGCATAAAGGATATTTCAAGATACTGTCAACAGCTGTACTGTCATAGGAGCCACACCTGTGATTTCTTGTTGATAACAAGTCACTGGCAGTGCTACACATTCAGTTTGCTGTCTGTGCTTATAATTGAAAGAAATGTTAAATTTCAGTTAGAGCTCGGTAAAAATAAGGATATGATTATTTTCCTGTCCAAGGACCTCCTAGACTCCCAATTTGACTCTAGGAAAGAATCCCTTGTGGGAAAGCAGGTAGTAAGTAAATAATAGCATGCCAAATGATGGTAAATGTTATAAAGGAAAATACCACAAAGTAAGGGAGACGGAGAGAGCCAAGCCTGTGGAGGGGACGAGCCACTCTTTTATTTTAGGAATGCCACTCTAGGATGACATTTTGGACAGTGATCTGAAAGAATACAGGAAATGAGCCCTGTGACTACGTGCAGAAAGAACGTTCTAGCTAGAGGAAGCCCCAAGTGTGATCCCACCTCTTAGGACCTTATTGATTGTGTTAGTGAAAATTGAATCAGGAAAGCAGAACCCCTATGAATATCTTGGAATAAGGGCTTTATTACAGGAATTAGACTTTTCCCATTTGTGGGAGGATCTGGGGAAGTAACTATCTGGCAGCGGGTATTGCATGTCAGGGAGGAGTCCCTAACCAGCCCTGGCGCAGGGAATAAGCCAGAGCTGGCAAGGGGGATCTGAGCTGGGAGCCAGACGCGTGTCCAGATGCTGGGATGGGGCTACGAGAAGGAGCTATTGAAGGAGTCCACGGGAGGCTGTAGCCCAGCCTGTGCATCGCCCCTGCCTCTGAGGGTCCACAGACGAGCGTGTGCAGTTGGGCCTGCGGCAGCTGTTGGTCAGTAACCAGGAAGAGCTAGACATCGGCCAGAGAAGAGTGAGAAACACCTGGAATCCACTAGACTCATCTGTGGTTGTCCTTCACCATGTTTGACTGGAAAGACCTTCCCAGAGTAATGGCCACTGTTTTTCTTCCGCCTTTCAAATCTTGTGCAAATTCCTCTTTGGCTAACTCTGACTCAGAACCATTCAGGGAAGAGGATTCTGTGAAAATTAGTTCCAGCTTAATCAAGTCGACAAAGTACAAACTCCCACATCTGTCAGTGTCAGGGCTTTGGCTTTTAATGGCGAGATGGGAAGCCACGGGATGGTTTTGCATGATGTAAGTTATAAGAATCTCTCTCGCTCCAGTGTTTGGCACAGTACTAAGAACAATATTTACTGAGTGTTTTGCATTCTTTTGAGAAATGCAGAAGGTTTTCTTCTTTTTTTTTTTTTTAAACTAGGGTAGCCCCAGTCTGAGCCAAGCAACTGTGTCCACACGAAATCTGTGCAGTTCTGAATTTTCCTATAACTGGAGGAGCAGAGAGGTGGTTTTGAGGTAAAAGACCTATAGCTTAAAGAAATTGAATCCGTTGTTTTGTTTTTTTTTTAAATAGCTGATACAGCCACTGTGGCAAGGGGGATCTGAGCTGGGAGCCAGACGCGTGTCCAGAAAACAGTATGGAGGTTCCTCAAAAAATTAAAAATAGAACTATTGAATGATCCAGCAATTCCAATTCTGGGTATATATCCAAATGAAATGAAATTGCTATGTAGAAGAGATACTGCACACCCATTTTAACTGCAGCATTATTTACAATAGCTAAGAAATGGAAAAATCTAAGTGTCCACCAACAGATGAATGGATAAATAAAACGTGTATATATCTGTGTCTATATCTATGTATCTACCTATTTGTCCACACAATGGAAAGCTATTTACCCATAAAAAAGGAAGGAAATTCTGCCATTTGCAGCAACATAGGTAGACCTTGAGGGCATTATGCTAAGTGAAATAAGTCAGAGAGAGAAAGATAAATACTGTATGATCTCACATGTAGGATCTTAAAAAAATAGTAAATTAAAAAATTAAAATATACTTAGTACCTTCTGTGTACCCAGTACTAGGGCACTATTCTAGGCATGTGGTATTTATCTTGAACAAAGTAGACAAAAATGGCTGCCTTTATGGAGCTAATACTCTAGTGGGAGTGACAATAACATAAAAATAATTGTTACACAGTGTTTCGAAGTGCTTTGGAAAAAATAAGTAAAGCAGAATAGAGCAATCAGGAGTCCTGAGGAAGGTTAGGGAGACATAATATAGGATTGAATAGGGTGGTCAGGGGAGGGAGTGCTGCTTGAGACAGTGAGATGTAAGCAGAGCTTTGGAGGAGATAAGAAGTGAGCCGTGTGACTGGGGCAGAGGGAACAGCTAAAACACAGGCTCTGAAGCCGACACGTACCTGGCATGTTCAAAAAACAACAAGGAGTGAACAAGGAAAGAAACTCATAGGAGACGAGGTCAGAAGGCACAATGGGGCCAGAAGCCTTGAGCCTTGATGTCCCTGTAAGGACTGTAGCTTTTACCCTGAGTGAAATAAGGAACCACTGCGGAATTTACAACAGAGAAATAACAGGACAGCGAATTTTTGGCATGGTTTTATTACCTTTTGGAGCTAAAATGCACAGGTAGCCTGAGCTCGTGATTGTTTCCAAAGCCAGATAAGAAGAGTTGAGTCGCTCTGAAAGGAATGGTAAGAATAGAAGCGGAAAAATAAGACTGGGAACCAAGTCCACAATATCAATCTTAATGCCTGCATCGTGCTCGGGAAATGAAAACTGGACTCACCTGAGAGCCTGCTTCATGTTCTTGGAAAGGATTGCAAATGGGCTGAAAGGGCGTTGCTGCAAGATCCCTTGGGGTTTGGAATTAGCCCAGACTTGGTTTCTGTGAGCCCAGAAATACTAACTGGGACTTCCCCAAAGTACACTTGATGTTGCTTAATGATAAAAGGCCTCCCTGTTCTGTTCCTTTGAGTAAAAGGCAAATCCCCCCATCTCTAGGTGCTATAATTTGCGGGTTGGAAGAATTGTCCTTTGTCATAAAGGAGAAGCTCAAGTAGAAAAGATACCAGCTCTTGTGATAACCAGATTGGATGGATGTGATAACCAGATTGGATGGATAACCAGATTGGATGGAAAAGATACCAGCTCTTGTGATAACCAGATTGGATAACCAGATTGGATGGATGATAACCAGATTGGATGGATGTTACCCAAGAGTCAGCCTACGGTTCTCATTCCACCAAATCTGTGATGTTTGAGCCCAACCATTAAATTACAGTGGTTGCTTCTCAAATTGGTCACACACTAGATTCTTCATGATGAAACCAACCCAAAGGATGTCCTGCAGAAAGAAATAAAACCTCCCCAGAAAGTCACTTTCCAGCCCTCTACTCCATCATTTCTCAATTCAGGGCTAAAAAAATCCAACACAGACTTCTTTTATATGCAAGAGAGGCAAAGCAAACCTACCATTGAAAGCAGGTAAAAAATAGAATAGAAGTACCAGTTTGGAAGGCAGCTGAAGAGAGATTGCCCAATACTTGGAATACACTTTGAGACTGAGTCCCATCATATATACAGAAACTGTAATGCAGTCCGTGCCCTGAGGCCCTGTGACGAAATCCCCTGTGGAGTAAACAAAAAAAGAATAAGTATCAAGACCCAACAGGACTGACTCGACCAGAATCAGGGGAGGACTGGCAAACTCACAGCAAAAATTGTAATACAGGTCACAAAATCCTCCCTAAGGCCGCCAGTTTCCAAAAGTGTAGTCAGAGCACATCAGCATGTTGAAAGATAAATATGAGAGACTCAAACAATGAGACATTTTTTTGAAGGCATGGCCCCCATGACAGCTCACCTACAGAGGCGCCCCGGACGGTGAGGAAAACGAAGGTCTTCCACAGGGAGAGTGAGAAATCAAAAAGGTTGCAAACTCCAGGGTAATTTAAAATCACACTCATTATCTTCCCAAATTTTAAAAGAAACATGGAAATAGGCCCCTGTTAGCTAAAGATTTACAAACCCAGGCCAAATTCTAACAGTCTCAGCTCCGTCCAGCCAGCTCCAGGAAGCTGCTGTACCACTTTTTGGGAAAGGAGCCTGAAGAGCTGGAACCACCTGGTTTCGGGGTTACTTGAGGGCCTAGAGTTCGCTTGACCTGGTTCTTTAAGAGTCAGAAGATAAAGACTGACGTTCACTTACCTGGGCCTCATTGTTGGATGATAAATTGCCTATCATATCCCTGCCCTGGGAAAGGCAAGCTTCATTTTCCCATTAATTCCTGAAATGAGAATTGCTTCCTGACTGATTTCGTCTAGAGACTGATAGAAACACCGTCTGGGCAAACAATAAGCTTTGTACTGCTGGCAGAACTCTTCCAGCGAACACCCCAGACTACAGTGAGGATGTGAGAACCAAGGCTCTGGAAGCCAGCTGAGGGACAACAAAGCTAGAGCCCTGAACATCAAGGATGTCCTGAAAGTCATGTTGGTGGGAGAGAGTCCAGGCCAGGGGAGGCTGTTACTGACCAGGACACTTCCCTACACCCAAGGAGGGCCCCCCATCCCCTTCAGCAGAGACACTGATAGCATCTCTCCTCTTGGACTTGGTAGTCAGTTTTTAGAATCCCCCTAGAAGTTCAGTTGAGTTGGAGAACTGAACTGTCCCCAGAAAAACCATGCAGACTGAAAGTCTATGAACAGAAGTTGCTGGTTTGGATATGAGGCCCATGCCAAACACAGTTTGTACCCTCAGTGCAAATTTCTGAGGCCTCACTTGGAACAAAGAGCAATTTTGATCGTAAGCAGAGTAAAATAAGGTAGGGGCATAACCTCTGGCCTTGTTTTATGAGCTCCCAGCTTTTTTCTTTGTATTTTTTTGCTGATTTGGATTTTTAGCCAAAGAAAGAGCTCCTGTAGCCTGTGTTGTCAGTCTGCTTTTTCCAGAGAGACTGTTTATTTTATTAAAAACATTGAGTAGAGATTATCATACTAAGTGAAGTGAGACAAAGACAAATATGATACGATATCACTTATATGTGGAATCTAAGAAAATGACACAAACGAACTTCTTTACAAAACAGAGATAGACTCACAGACATAGAGAACAAATTTACGGTTACCAAAGAGGAAGTGGGGAGGATAAATTAGGAGTTTGGGATTAACAGATACACACTACTATATGTAAAATAGATAAACAACAAGGACCTACTCGATAGCACAGGAAACTGTATTCAATATCTTGTAGTAACCTACAATGGAAAAGAATCTGAAAAAGAAAAAATATATATATATAAACTGAATCACATTGGTGTACACCTGAAACTAACACAACATTGTAAATCAACTGTACTTAAATTAAAAAAGAATTTTTGTAAGTTACCTGGTTTTCTAAACAAACAAAAAAACCCACTACAGTCTTTAAAACCAATCGGAAAAAAGTGAGAGAAGGAGGAGGAGGGATCATCCTGGCCATTTTTAAATCACAATAAGCCTAATTTATTCTCTCAACATGTGAGTCATAGGATTTCATAAGGCAGCTAATCCACCCTTCTCATTTTACATATGAGGAGATTAAGGGCCAGAGAGAGGAAATAACTTGTCTAAGGTCATGCATGTTTATGAGTGTAAATATAATGTTAAAATGTATTCCCAGCTACTGATTTCCTTATTATTATTTAATTTCCCGATCCTTCTTTCCGTGGGAGTTGATGAGCATCCTGAAATTTGTGATTAAGAAAGAACCTGGCATGTTACAGTGAAAAAGAGAAATTCACTTGGACCAGCCTCTTCTTATCTGTCATGGCCTGAGAAACCTGTTGTACCAAGCCCTGGTAAACAGCCCCATCCTTGGGTAACCAGATGGCCCTGGGGGTCATAGTTGCAAGGCCCAGGACAATAACCTCACTTTCACTCTTCTCTCTTTGCTTGGAAAAGAAAACTGTAGAATCAGCTACGCCACTGTCTTACTAAGCATCCGTTTTACCTGCAGGGATTCCTTGCCTTTGCAGAAATTAGACTTTTGAATTAAAAATTCAGTTCCCAGAAAATGCAATGATGGTGTTCCAGTGTTGTGGAAAGAATAGGTCTTTAGTTATCTAAATATGTGGTTCTCATTTTCCTCGTGATGGGATTATTGGGAAATTCAGAGACACTATTTACAAATAGTATGGCTGTTATTATAGCAGTTTGTCATTACTGTGTGTAGCTGGACACATCTTTCCTCACATTGTCTGAATTAGTAATTTTAGTATTTTTCTTTTGGAGAAATCTCTCCAACTTCCTCTTGCTTTCACTAAACAGTTTTTATGTGATAGACCCTCCATCATGTGTATTCAGGGATCCGTATTTAAAATGAATTTTAAGTTCTATTTTATATATGTGTATTTAGAAGAAAATAGCTGATCTACATCAGGGTTTCTCAGCCACAGCACTATTGACATTGGGGCTGGATAATTCTTTGTTGTGAGGCTGTCCTGTGGACTGTAGGATGTTTAGTAACATACCTGGCCTCTACTCACCAGGTGCCAGCGGCACTTCCCCTTCATAGGTGTGACAACCAAAAATAGGCATTCCAAACAGCCTCCGGGGATAAAATCACCCCTGGTTGAGAACCACTGATTAACTTGTTTCAAAAAGAGGTCGCAGTAGATGGTATGCGCCATAAGAACAGGAACTGTGTCTGTTTTGTTCATCACTATCGCGCACATAATAGGTGTTTTTAGAAAACTTGTTGATTGAATGAAAGACACATGTGGTATAAAAGAGAGAGCCTTGGGTAGAGAATATTCGAACATCAATCTACTGCTGCATAGCCATGCCATTTGTCTAAATCATTTTATTTCTTTGAATCTTAGGCTCATAATATGTATTGCAGAAAATAATCTTTACCCTGACTCTACTATCTTGTGAATTTCAAACCCGATTATTTGTGCAAATATGTCTGTAACCTGTGAAATGACCTCAGATCTGAAAGATAGTGAGGGACAAATGCCTCGAAGGAGACGCTGAACTCCACAGGGAGACCCAGATCAACCTAAAACAATAGTTCTTGCTTATCCGGGAACCAAGAGCTCTGAGCTATGCTCTGGCCTTGAGGTAAGGTAAAGAAAGAGGAAGGAAATGGAGCTGGATCGGGCAGCTCCGGAAACCCAGAGGGATGAGTCAGACACAAGTGGACAGTGCCTCCTTATGGTTTCTTTGTACAGCATAGTTCGTTCTACACCAACCCAGGTACCAAAGAACGACAGTACATTCCTAAGAAGGTACAGTGCCGTTGGGAATTAAGACTTTCAGAAGCCTTTACACTGAAAGACTATGATTTCCCCACTCCCCAACCTTATCGGCAGATCACCTGAAAAAATCCTATGTGTGTGTACGTGTATAAAACACAGAATTTGTCTATATGTTCATTTTTCCTTTAAGCGGCTAGTTTTGCTGGAGGACTAAGGGCATGACTGGCCCACCTGTTGGAAAGTCCAGTATAAGCTGATGGACATGGTGCAGAGAACCACCAGGGGTCAGGTCCCATGCAGAAGGAGAGGAGATGTATGGATTGTATCTGTGTGCCAGTGATAGGCAGGTCTCAGTGGTGTGTGCAGGAGTCTTCTGCCTGGGGTCCATTTCATAACACATCCGGATTTATCAATAGATACTAGTGAGCCAAAAAGTGAAGTGTCTGTGGTTCCGTGTTATGAGTTCTCCAGGAGCAAAAATTGGTGCAGGAGGATTCTTGCCCCACTGTGTTATAAATCACCCTATTGGCTGTGTGTGGTGTGGGGAGGGGTCAGGGGAGCACCTGACTTTTTTCTGCCT